CCCCAAAACCCCAAAACCCCAAAACCCCAAAACCCCAAAACCCCAAAAATAAACCCCATTACTGAAACAACCCCCACACTCAAAAACATCTACCAAACATAAAGATACCATCCATCCTCAAAACATCTTTAAAACCAAATACTCATCCTCCAGCCTACACTACTCCTTAACAAACGCTTTCCAATTTGCACACTCATACTTCTGGTCTATACCATCAACCCCAAAAACCTACTTGGCTTCCTATTCGGTGAGATAAAAGACATTTTGGAGAACTGGGGTCTTGGCCTTGGCTCGACTTTAAGTTCAGGTTTGTGTGTGTCTAGTGTGAATTTGTTCAGGATTTGTTGGGGAATATGGCTTTTGACTGGGCAGGGGAATTTGTGTTGGGTTTGGTCGATAATGGGAGTGGAGATCTGCCTGTTGCTGGTTACTTTTAGGAGGAATTTTTCGACGTCGAAGAGTTTTATGTTGCCGTTGGAAGGTCGTTCTTGGGAGAAGAAGTGGGTTGAGAATTTGTTCCTGTCGTTAGGGTTTCGAGTGCGGATTGCTAGGAGTAAGGGGAGTAGTACTTTTGAGAGGAGGTTTAGAGATGACTTGGCGCTTTTCTCTCTGGCTTTTAACACTTCTTTGCTGGCTCTCTGGTTTGGGAAGCAGATTACGCTTTTGAGTAGCTAGGTTTGAGTTAAGGTTTTTGATAAACTCTTGAAGTTCGGTTTGAATATTCTCTTTAGATCTCTTTTCAGCAAAAATATTCTTCTTGCTTTCCCTTCTAGAAGAGAATATATTCCCACTGCCATTAGTTATTGAGACATCTTTGCTGGAATATTTGTCATAAGTAGCTGAAAAATGATCAAATTCAAGTATCGATTTCCCTCAAGCTTCTACTGTCTGTAGAGGATCATAATTCTTGGAGTTTCGAAGGCCATCATATTTATAAGTCCCCTTATTGATAGGATAACTCTATATGCTACTTTTCCCTTACTTATAATTCAGATTTCGATGATTGTTAGGATTAATCATTCTGGCCTTGTCAAGCTATGGATAGTAACAAAAATGTACTCTAGATTTAGGAGGTAAACGTGAATCCCTTCTCTGAGTGACTCCTTTCAGATCTTTACTCTGACATACTTCCTTATTTTTCACATCTGAGAAATCAGCATTTAAACCTACTTTGTTTTTGGATAATTAAACAGTCATTGAGATTCGAAGGTTGAGATTGCTTCCTCTAATGAGTCATTTAATTGATTTTACCGAGCTTGGAAACTGGAAAACAATATTAGCTTTTTCTGTATTGGTGTTGCTAACCAATGAATTACGCCCTTCTTTCATTTCATTCTGAAAGATAAAATTCTGCTCATTGAAGTCTCAACTAGGAGTTACAGCCAAATTAGTTGGCTTAATCTCACTTTCTTCTTTATTTTTCTTATAAAATCCATTAGAAGTGCTATTCTTCAAAGAGTCTAAATTAGATCTAGTTTTTCTGTTCTCAAATTTTACTTTCTTATCATCCTTCAAGGCATTAGCTGAATTATCATCTATTTGTCTCATATTCTTAGTATCTTTCCTCACACTTTTAATATTCCTATACTTTACACTCTCAATTTTACTTAAGCTTTACAAGAGGCTTTATTAAAGGCTTTCTCTGCATTTTAACTACTCTATTCGTCTCATTTTGCTTCTTTTCATCATTTTCTGCTCTATCCGTATTTTTTCAGACATTCCCTTTCGAACGCTGGAGAATACTATCATTAGGAGTAGCCAGCAGTAAGATATTATCCTTATTCGAACTCCAAGGGGTGATGCTATCAGACACCTTACCAACAAGCATAAAACCTATTTACTATTTCGTTCTGAGTTCTTATAAAATAATCAGATTACCAGATATAGATTAAATGTGATGACAAATGGGCTGTAATTTAAGAAATTCTTAAAGAATCTTACTTTGCTTTTCTTCCCTTTGGGTTTTCCCTTTGGATCTCTGGGAAGATCTAGAGTACGATTAGGATAGTCGAAATTGGGACTTAGAATATTTTTAGAATGAAATCCTTACTTGAAACTTTCCTCTGGTCTTTAAGATTTGAGCTGTTTATCTTTGAATTCTAGAGAAGCATTAAATTATGTAAATTTGATTGATTACTGTTTTAGGAACTTCGATATAATCTTGGTGGTAAATATCAGTATCTGTACTGATGTTCATTAAGTCGTTGATTGCTTTATCCTCAGCATTTCTAGATAATATTATGAATATTTAAAATAAGAAATCTTCTAAACATATTGATCATGGAGCATTGAAAATAAAATTTGAATTCTGTAAAAAGAGAAGCTAGATGAGAATAAAAATATATAATTTTAGATCTAGAGACCTTTGACTCAAACCTTGAGTTGATACAGCGAGGTTTATAACTCTATTTACCCATTTTGTTCAAACATTGTTAAAATATATTATATAATTGTATTCCTAAGATTTCAACATGAGTTCAATGGCCAGGGGTTTTGGGGTTTTGGGGTTTTGGGGAGAT